CAGTGGTTTCAGCACCATTTGTTAAAGATTTCCTTCCCTATTGACTGGTCTTGGCACCCTTGTTGAATTATGATTCATTCTGATTCATTTTTGTGTATGGTAAGAGGTATGGGTCAAAATTCTTTTTTCTTTTCTTCCTTCTTTTTCTTCCCTCCTCTCCTCTCCTCTCTTCTCTCTCCTTTCATCCTTTCTTTTCATATCAATAGCCAATTTTTCTAGCATCATTGTTGAAAAACTATTCCTCTTCCCTGGAACAGCATTTGTTCCTTTGTCAAAATGAAAATCTCCATATATGTGTAAGCCGAATTTTGGATCATGCATTCTGTTCCATTTACCTATTTGTCTACCTTTATACCAATCCACACTGTCTCGATTACAATAACTGTAAGTCTTAAAATCAGGTAGTATACATCATTTTTCTTCTCTTTAAAGTTGATTTATTATTCTAGATCCTTTTCATTTCCATATGAATTTTAGGATCAACTTGTGAATTTCTATAAGAAAAGTCTGTTAGTGATTGAGAATGCATTGACTCTATAGAGAAAATGGGGAGAATTGACATCTTAATATTTAGTCTTCTGATTCATGAACATGACATATCTCTGCATTTATTTTGGTATTTTTTTTTTTATTTCTCCGAACATTATTTTTTAGCTTTCACTGTACAAGTCTTCCATATATTTTGTCAGATTTGGCCCTAATTATTTCATGTTTTTTATATCATTGTAAATGTGTTTTTTCAATTTCAATTTTCAGTTATCACTAGTAAGTAGAAGTACAATTAATTTTCTTGTATTTTCATCTTATATCCTTCAATCTTGCTATACTCAGTTATTAATTCTAATAGCTTTTTTTTGATGTTCTACGGGATACTTTACATGGACTATTATGTATATATTAATAGAGATGATGTAACTCCTTTCTTTCTAATCTGAATGCCCTTTATTTCTTTTCTTGCCTCATTGCACTGGGTAAAATGTTAAATAGGAGTAGTGAGAGTAGATATCCTTGTTTTACTCCTAATCTGAGGGGGAAAAGCAATTAGCCTTTTACTATTAAGTATGATGTTAACCGTGGGTTTTTTGATGCTCTTTTTCAAGCAGAAGAGGTCCCCGTGTATCTCAGTTTGCTGGGATTTTGTTTGTTTTGCTTTTCAATATGAAACAGATGTCAGATTTTGTCAAATGGGTTTTCTGCACTTATTAAAATGATTTTATGTCTTTTCTTCTTTAGTTTATTAATACGGTATAGTACTTTGATTGATTTTTCATGTAAATCGAAACATTTATTCCTGGGACAGCCAAACGTGGTTATGGTATATTTTCCTTTTCTTATCAAAGGTGGGCAAAAGTAGGTTAATAAAAATAAATAATACAATAGTTAATAAATAAATACTAACATAAGAATAAACTCTGTGTGTCATGTACTCACTACTATAAATTTACTTTAGGCAACCCCTGTATTGTGAGATCTTTTTTATTTTGGTTAACATTTTATTAGGAATTTTTGCATCCATGTTCATGAAGGACATTAGCCTGCAGTTTTCTTTTCTTACAATGTCTTTATCTAGTTTGGATATCAGGATCATGGTTCTTTATAGAGTGAGTTTGGAAGCATTTCCTCCACTTAACTATTCTGGAAGAAATGGGTGTTATAAGTTGAGTTGTGTCCTCTAGAAATTAATATATTAAAGCCTCAACCCCTAGTGTCTCGCGTATTTGGAGACAAAGCTTTAAGGAGGTAAGTTAAAACAAAGCTAATGGTGTGAGCCCTAATCTAATCTGCCTGGTGTCTTTGTAAGAGGAAATTTGGACTCACCAAGAGACAAGAAAAATATCTGTGCACAGATGAGAGACCATGTGAGGGAAGAGAGAAGGGGCCATTGGCAAGCCAAGCAGAGAGGCCTCCACATGAAGCCAAACCTGCCAACACCTTGATCTTGGACTTCCAGGCTACAGAACTGTGAGAAAATAAATGCCTATATTGTTTAAGCCACCCAGTGTGTGGTATATTGCTATGGCAGCCCTAGCAGTTTAATTCAGATGGTCTTACTTCTTCCCTAGCTATTGGGCTGAATTTACCAGTGAAGTCACCCAGACCTGGAGTCCATTTATGAGACGATTTTAAACAACACATTCAATTTCTTTAATAGATACAGAGCTATTTCCAGTTGAGTGAGTTGGTGACTTTCAAGGAAATTGACCATTCCATCTTAGTTGCTGGTATTGTTTACATTCATTTTAATACAGAAAATTACAAGTAATAAAATGAAACCATCAGTTATTCCACTGCCTAAAAATAACTATTATTAATGTTCTGCTGTAGATCCTTCCAGATAATTTTTATACATGTGCTCATCAATCCCCTGCAGCCTCCTTTTTGTTTTCACAAAATTGCTATTACCCTTCATACCCAGGGTTTTGCTTTTTGTATCATCAAATCTTTAAAAACATGACTATGAATGGATGGTTAATAACTCGCTTAACTAACCCCCTAGCTGAAGTCACTCCTGATTTGGGCAGTGCATCATGTCAAACTCCACTGTCAATATCTTTTTCATCTGTCCCTGGGGATCACTCAGGTTGGCATCTTGATTTACAGTTCCGGAGTGGAACTACTGGGTCGACCAGTTTACTACTGACTTCTGGTACTGAGCACCTTGTGCTTGGTAGGGGGAGGGTGGAGACAGGGAAGAGCTGACCACCAACCCCGTCTCAGGGGCTTGCCTTCTGCCAACCCGCCTGATCAGCACAGCCAGTGGGAATGCCAGATGAGAATATAGCAACAGGGCTGTTTGGAGGCCCGCCAACTCCGCTGTGGCCTCCTTTGCAAAGATCTAAGTGGCTCTGGGTTGTCTACAAGTTGGAGGCTCTATCTTCCGTGTGTGGACTCTACTGGGCCTTCCTTCTTGGTCCTTCCTCCTTTGAAGTGCTGTGATATCATTACGAAGCATATGCAAAATCGAGCCAAAAACTGAACCAAGCTTTGGGCAAACAAGTGAAGGCAGAGCCCAGCCTTCTGCTCCTACCATTTCAGTCCTCAGGGAGCACCCAGTCTGATGAGGCAAGCCCTGTCCCCCAGGCAACCCTCTGGGTTTGGAGGAAATAAAGTCCCGCGTTCTCCAGGATGCCCAGACTCAGTGAAGTGTCAAGATCCACACACCGAAACACGCCCAGGTACCTACCTACAAAGGAATGTATAAGGAAGGGCAAATGAATGCCTTCCCATGGAGGCATATGTGATTGGATGCAGTGGGGGTTTTCTAGAACTTCTGGGAAGGAGAAGGGCCTGGACCCACCGAGAGGAAGCTGAGCAGAGGAAGGATGGGGGCCAGGAAGACGCGGGAGTGACAGGTGGCATCAGGGGGCCAGCTGGTGTGGTAGGACCCCAAGTAGGAAGAGAAGAGATCCATGGGGTCTCTTCAGTCCCTTGTCAGCAACTTTGGGAACACTAGGAGAGAAGGGCCAATGTGAAGGTGGGGGATTGTTTGGAGTTCTCATTTCCCCCGCGACTTGCTCCCCTCCCCACCGCCCCAGTTCACCTCAAGACTAGAGGAGGAGTCTCAGCTGGCAACACTCAGCTCCTTGCCTGAGCACCTACTCCATGCCCACACTGCACGACACTGCCGCTTGCCCCTACCGTCCTCTCTCGGTGAAGCCTGGTGACAGCCAGTCTACAGCTGAGGACACGGAGGCCAGGGTCTCAGAGCCATGCTGTGGGGGTGCTGGGCTCGGAGCCCCATCGGTGGGACTGCGCCAGCCTCCAGGGACTCCCCAAGCTCCGGGTCCCTCTGCTTCTCTCCTGATCGCCCTTCCCCCACACGTGCCACTCCCTAACAAGAGGCACAGGCACCGACTCCCAGGCCTCTAGGCCCCCAGCCAGAAACAACGGAGCCCCCTAGGGCCCATCTGTGAGGTCTGGAGACCTCTGTGGAGACATTGGTTGTCAGACTGGGTGGGGGGCGGTTCCCACTGGACTTAGCGCGGAGGTCAGGGATCTGCTGAGCAGGACGGGGTGGGGCTGGGAAGCCATGCTCCATGTCAGGCAGGTTCGTCCTTTCACGCGCGAGTCGGGGGCTTCCTGCCAGGTGCATGTGCCGGTGCCCCGCCCCCGTCTGAGCAGACGTGGGCACCCACACGCTTTCAGATGTGGAGGGAAGCCTGAAGGACCGACCGCGCCTGGCCACACGGAGGCCCTCACAGAGATCCTCTCCTCGACCAAGGCTCCCCCTCTGACTACGCCTTGGCTTTGGGGCTTCCATGTTCATCTTTGTATTGTCCGATTTTAGGAAGAATCCTGTTAAGTTAGTTCAGCCAGAATCCCCATCCTCAGCATCCGATCACCCGCGATATCTGTGTGACGGGGTTCGGCCCCGGCCTTCCCCCGCCCCCGCCCCCGGTGATGTCTGCGTGCCCTGGCCTGCGCCCAGCCAGCATCCCCCACTGGCTGATGTTTCCTCTTAGCGTTTTCCACCCACTGACCCCCTACCTCCTCCCTGGCTATGAATTCCTACTTCTCCTTCTTGTGTTTGGAGGGGAGTTCACCCTCTCTTCCCATTGCAGTTGTCTCTCAGCCTATTGAAATAACCCCCCTGGAGTAAAGTCTGCCCCACTGTCCTTGGGCAAGTGTCATTGAACAATTTTAACATCCTTTTCAGATGGGAATAGAGAGCACTTTGGACTAACTTTCTTTCAGATGCGTGGGGAGGGGCCAACTCCGGGTCAGAGGCATAAACCCGCACCCTCTGCAGGCTAGAGCACCCCCAGGTGGGGCCTTTCCCTGGCAGCTATGGGCAGGGCGGGGGCAGGGGGGTGGGAGGGAGGAGGTGGAGCCTCCTTTTTCTAGGGCATGTGTCACTGGCCTCTTGCCCAGGGGCACTGCCTTGGCACTGCCCTACCAGTGTAGGTGGCAGTGAGAAGCTGGGGCCTACTCCCCAGGGCCTTTGGAGCAGACCGCAGACCTTTGCAGCCCTATGTCGCTGGCCCCCCAGAACCCAGGACATGGCAGATGGGGCGCAGGCAAACCCCAAAGGGTTCAGGAAGAAGGTGCTGGTTAAACATTCCTCTGGGTGCAGAGGTTCAAATCTCAGGGCCTCTTTTTCTTCGAGGATCTCCAGGTATGTGCCTGCTCCCCTGGGATGGAGCCCTCCAAGGAGAGGAGCAGGGATGGAGGTGGGGAACTGGTTCCTTGAACCTGCTTCTCCAGGAAGGAGACCTCTGAGTCTCCAAGTGATGGCTGAGAAATGTCACTGCACTGTTAGTGCCAGAAGGGCCTGACGGATCATCTAGTCAACCCTCCTGAGACAACTGAGGCTCAGAGAGGCTAAGAGGTCTACCTGAGGTCACACAGCATTTTGGAAGCAGGGTTGGGACTGGAACCCAGGGCCCCAGGTTTCTCGGCTCCGGCTCTGAGAGCAAGACCCAGTGCAACTTTCTGACACAAATATGCAAGGAGGCTGCTGCCGATCTGTGACAGCAATCTGACCCCCCCGTGTGGCAGCAAGCTGCCTGTCTTGAAAGCTGATTCTTGCTCCAGGGGTATGCGGGCAGGAGGGGAGAAGGCTCCCACTGCTTCCTAGCACTGCCATTCTGGGGGCTGTGCCTTCAGCAGGCACAAAGCAGGTAGGTGCTCAGCTCTTCCTGAAGGATCCTGCTAATGACAGGGATGGGGCGCAGGAACCAGGACATCGGTGTCATCAGGGTCATCAGGGGACAGCACTGAGGGCACCTGTCACGATAAGGAGGCCCTGGGATTGCAGGAAGGGGAAATGGCCCCACTTAGGACCTGGGTTCTCTTCCTCTCTCAGGTCTGGCCTGGCTATGAAGTTCCTCATCATCGCCGTCCTGGCCGGCAGCAGTGAGTAAAGGCTCCGGGGAGATGCCTCATTCTCCCCAACCCCAGGCTCTCTCCCTTGACCTTGGGCTTCTTGGTGCTCCATCCGCAGACCAGCAGCAAGACCTTGGCCCTGTCTTTCATCTCTCTTGGCCTCCAATGCCCCGCTCAGCCCCTGCCAGGCTTCGCTCTCTCTCTGGAGCTGTTCGTTTCTCCACCACCTGTAAACACGCCACAAGCAGTTGGCATTTACAAGCCTCAAGAGGCAGGGCCCAGAGTTGAGCAAGCATCGTAAAATGGTGATGTTCGCTGGGCGTCCGGGCAGCCCGGCAAACCGAGGTGTTTATGTGTGGGGGAATGTGTGTTTGTGTACATGTGTACATGTAGACAAGCTGTAAGTTTGTGCATGGATATATGCTGTCTATGTGTGTGCGATAACCCTGTGGATAAGACACTTCAATAAAATGTGTGAGTGTGTGCGAAGTGAGTTATGTGTGTCTAGAAGGTGTCTATGAACACAGGGGTGCATATATCTGTATGTGGTATGCGCAGAGCAGGGGTGTGTATGTGAGCATATACAAAGATGCGACAGGTCTGGGGACTTCTTACCGGGGTGGTGACCAGGTCTGGGTGTATGGATTGGGGACCACTGAGCCTCTGACACAAATCAACCCCCCACACATCCAGGTGTGCCAGTGGCGGGCACCTGAGGTTGATGGAAAATGGACTGAACCTCTCGCTGGCTTTCCATCTAGCCTGTTACCCACCTCCTGGACATAGCCAGCTTTGAGGAGAAGAAATTCCAGAAACAAAATAAGACTAAATATAGCTGACATGAAAAACTGTTGGTTGCATTCAGGCAAAGTAACCTGTTATTTAGAAAATAAACACTTGAGTTCAGCCTAAACCCCTGGCCAGGGACAGAGCCTCCAGCCTGACTGGAGACTCTACATCTTCCACGTGGAGGGTGAATGTGCACGTGGCCTCACTCCAGGCCACAGATTCCACTCTGGGTGGCGCCTGTGAGTGTATTTGTGATATGCTAGTGTGTGTATGACTGAGACGTATAAGTTGTGCCTGAGTGTGTGAGGTGTTTGTGGGTGAGTGTGCATACTGAGTGTGTGATGTTGGCAACTATGAGAGGGTGTGTCTCTGTGTGAGACATGTGCATGAAGTACACCTGGGTGTGTGTATGCATGTCAGTGTGTGTACGAGTGTGCAGGGTGTGAAGGAGAGGATAAGGTGGGTGTGTTGGTGTCTCCATGTGTGTCTCTGTGCGTGCCCACCCTTTGTGTGGACAGCTGAGTCTCTCACTCTTCTCCTACGTGGTGGACCCTGGGAATGAAAGCTGCCCCTTTCCCCTCCCCCCATGGAGGTGAACTACTAGAAGGTGGGTGGGGGTAGAGGCAGGGGTTTTCGGGCTGGGGGAGCAAGAAGGCCAGGACCTCAAGGGGCTCTGCACAGGGCGCCCTGCAAGAGAATGTCATTATTTCCTGTCGTCAGATTTAGGAATTGAGGTCAAAGAGGTTACGCAACCTGCCCAGAGTCTCACAGTGTTCATGGAGAAACCTGTTTGCAAACCCACTCTGTCTGACTCCAAAGCTGATTGGCACACACGTTATTCTCCTGTACCAAGAAGCCAGTGGGGGGGGGTGGGGAGAGGTGGTAGAAGGGGAGGGAGAGCTAATGTCCCCAGGGACCCCTCCCGACCTTTCAACAGTCACCAAATCTCTGTGCAGCTCAGGGAACAGGCTCAGGCTCACAGGATGCAGGGTCCTCTGTCGCCCTGCCCCAGGCCCCAGTGTAGACATTCACAGGGCTCTAAATCATCCTCTTAAAGTCACCTGTCATTTCTCCCTACTCCTTCCCTGTGTCCTCTCTTGTTTGCTCCTTATTCTCTGTGAGGACAGAAATCACAGAGCCAATACACAGAGACCCAGGGGGAGCAGGATTCCCAACATCAGCTCTCGGAGGGGCGGGGCAGACCCAGCCCAGGAGTTGGCAGGCACTGTGCGGGGGTGAGCGTCTGGGGCGTGCTGGCCCCAGGGATCCCAGGAGGCCAGCACCATTGTTCCCATTCTACAGATGGGAAAACGGAGCCCCAGGGAGCTGGAGCTATGTGCCCCGGCCTGTCTGTCTCCAAAGTCTGTGATTGTCCCACCGAGGCACGTTGAGGTGATGACTTCCTTGTCACTAGCGATGTGGGACAACCACGTCTGAAGAAGCGAGTCACTGCGGCTTCTGGGACTCCATCCAACATCCAGTTTCTGAACTCCTTTGACTCTTCCCTCTCCTAGTACATTTCCTATTCCAGGCTGTAGAGCAGGGTGGGGAATGTGGAGAGCACAAGGGCAGGGTGCTGAACTGGGTGGGCACCTGACCCTGGCCCAGCTGAGGAGCCAGGGGTGGGGGGTGGGGCGCAGGCAGGAGCTGCCATTTGCTGGTGGCATCACAGCTCTGGGACACACAAACCTGGGGTCATGTCTGGGCTCTGCCCCTTCCAGGCTGTATGACCTTCACTGTTCGGAGGCTTAGTTTGCTCATCCATAAAGGGAGATAGAGCAGCTCTCCTGCCCGCGTGGCGGGGGGAGGGAGGGCATGCAGTGGGCTTGGTGCTGACTTTGGGGTGAGCCAGGAGGAGACGCCAGGCCAGCACAAGCCAGAAGCCCAGCGGCCAGAGCAGCTGGGAGGAAAGACTGTGTCACTGGGGTGGGCTGGCTGCCAGATGCCAGGAAGCTGATTTTTCTGGTACAGGAAGGGTTATTGCACTATTGCTTCCTGTGAGACACTGACAGAGAGAAAGGAGTGTGTGTGTGTGTGTGTGTGTGTGTGTGTGTGAGAGAGAGAGAGAGAGAGAGAGAGAGAGAGAGAGAATGTGTGCATGTGTGTGTCTTCATTGACTGACTAGGGCACCCAGTTGTCTCTGGGTTTATCCTGAGATGGATACCATCCTGAGGAGACCAGCCCCTGCGGGGGGCAGAGAAGCCAGGCCGAGCCAGGAGGGCCCAGAATCGAACCCCGGTGTTCAGAAGAGCGTATCCATGTGCACTGCCCCTTACAGTTTCTGGGGGCAACTGAGCTTCGGGCTCTCACTGCCTGGGTCCCAATTCTGTCTCCACCGCTTTTCAATGCGCTTTTTCTTGGGTGAGTCACTAGGGGCTCTGGACCTCAGGGCCCTCATCTGTAAAGTGGGACAGCAGGCCCCGCAGGGCTGCAGGGAGCGCTCAGTGAGTTAATGCCCAGGATGGCGCCTAGCACGGCGCTGGGCACAGAGGAGTCCTCGGAATAATAGTAACTATTGTTATTATCTCAGGGCCTTAGGGCTTAACGTAAGAATGTGTGCAGTACATATACTCAGTGCTTTGTGCATTGCTTCCTCCCTCCTGCTCTGCCCGCCCGCGGGCCCCCATTCCCCGGGCCCTGGGCGGCGGGAGGACAGCCAGTCCCACAGGGCAGGCTGCTCACAGCCTCCCCTCGGCTCTCCCGCAGTCCTGCCTGCAGCGCACAGCAGCCTGTTCAACCTGAAGTCCATGGTGGAAGCCATCACGGGGAAAAATGCCATCTTGTCCTTCGTGGGCTACGGCTGCTACTGTGGGCTGGGGGGCGGTGGCCACCCCATGGATGAAGTGGACTGGTAGGTTCCAGCGTGCCCGGGCTGCTGGCAGAACTGGGTGGGTCCAGAGCAGGCCAGACTGACGTCCATCTTCGAGAGGCGGGAGAGGGCCCTTTCCCCAAAGGACGAGGCTTGTCTGATGAGTTAGTGACAATGAGCCTGACTTTTAACCCCTGTCTTCTCCAATTATCTCGGACAATCTCTATTGTCCATCTCCCAGGTCTTGGGCTTGGAGGCATCTGAACTCCTACTCTTGCCAGGAAGGAACTTTTGATCTGCCCCAAACCCACAAGAGTAGCAGTCATACAGCTCATGGCTGACAGAGACCAGGGCTGTGATGCCTGCCCCCGTGGGACCGGGGGAGGCCATGGAGGGCAGGGCTGTGCCTGCTTCCTCCGTTGGATGGCGGCGGGTGGAGGGAGGCGGTGCCCAGAAGACATGGCTTATCTCCTGCTCCTATCTCCCCCAAAGCAGTCAGCAAGAAGCCTGGTATCACCCGGACCTTAATAAATACACATTGACTCATTGTTTTCCCTCCCCCAGAGGGGACAGGGACGGTCACCCACACTTGCTTCCTGTCCCTTATCCCCTACCACCCCCCCCCCCCCGCCCTTCAGACCTTTGTCTTTCCTGGTCGTCACGGACAGCCAGGTATGGCCTCTGCATATAGTCGGTCTATAACCCTAACCCTCCCTCCCACCCTGACTGCATGGCTGGACCACCAAGCGGGAGCCCTGTGCAGAAGTCAAAGAGGCAGAATTATGGACAAGAACCCAGGACACTGGCCAGTCCTGCCTGGCTGTGTGACTTCAGACGAGTAACTACCCTGCTCTGGGCCTCAGTCTGAAGGTCTGACCAGCAGGGAAATGGAGCGGGGGATCAGGGTGTCTGCGGGTGGGAGCGGGCCAAGCCTGGCCATGTGGGTCTGCTCCCGTCTGCCTGTCCCCCTCCACCCACCCCTAGGTGCTGCCATGCCCATGACTGCTGCTACCAGAAGCTCTTTGACCAGGGCTGCCACACCTACGTGGATCACTATGAATACTCCATCGAGAATAACAAGACGATTGTCTGCAGTGAGTCCCTCCCCTGACGTCTGCCCGCAGCCGGTGCTGGGGCTCTGGGCAGGGTTGCCAGGTGAAATACAGGACGCCTAGTTACATTTGAGTTTCAGATCAACCACGAAACATGTTTACACATAAGTATGTCCTCAATATTGCATAGGTTCTAATTATACTAAAAATGAAATGTTAGCATAAAATCAATTAGTGTTACTATAGAACTAAGAATTAGCATAAGTATGTTCCATGCAATATTTGGGGCATGCTTATACTAAAAATATTTGTCTGAAATTCAAATGAACCAGGCCTATTGTTTTTGTTTGTGCGCTTGGGAGAGCGGACAGCCCTCCCTGCGGCTCGGGCACGCCCCTCTGCTGGGCTCTGATCTCCCAGCCCGCCTGGGTCCCTGGCAGGGAAGGATTCTGATGCAGGCGGACTGGGCGGGGCCAGGAATCTCTGCTTTCCACCAGATCCTCAGGTGCTCGTGAGACTTTGTGACACACTGGCCTGGGGCTCAGAGGACATGGGTTTGACCTGGGTTCTGCCAGCCTCTCCTTGTCCTGTCGCCCTGGGGCAGGGCCCTTCGCTACCTGGTTTCTCTTTCTCCATCGCTACCTGAAGGGATGTGAACCAGAGAAGACTGGTTCCTTGCCATTTCTGTCACTAGGACCCCACCAGAAGGTGGCTCCTTCCCAGGACCCTCAGTTTTTCCGGAATTCAAGCTATGGGAGCCAGGCCTGATGGAAGGTGCTTTGCCATGGACCTTCCGTGGCTTTTCCCCAGCGGAGGGGTGTGGCATCCAAGCGGATGGCCCAGGTGTCCCTGCCCTGCCTCTCCTTCACGCCGCTCCCTGGGGCAGCAGTTTCCCCCTGTCCAGGGCCGTGGGCAGCCCTGGGCTCCCTTAATCTTCTGTCTTAGCCAGGCTCTGCTCCTTGTCCCTCCTAATGGCTCACCAGCATCCCAGCTTTGCAAAGAAACTCAGGTCTCCTGCTCTCTGGGAAAGAGTCTGAGGAGAGCTGGGCTCACCTGGGGCGCTTGGGCGCCCAGGGCTCTGCGGCCCTCCTATTCTGCTGTTCAAACGTGGGGTGGAGGGGCTGGCTTGAGCGAGGGGGTGTCCCGCCATTAAAGCCCAAGCTATAGTTTCTGCGATGGCCTCTGGGATTCCTGGCGGCAGGGGTCAGCTGCTGTGAGAGGTAATGGTGGGGGAGGGCCCTAAATGGTCCCCCTGGCTCTTTAATGTATATTATAGCTTAAGAGGCTTCTCTTTCAGCAACTGCTGTATTAACCTTCTGCAAAGAGTTTCATTTGGTTGAAGTATTTACAAACCATTGGCTAGTGGGTGGTTCTCAAAGGGTGTTCCCCAACCTGTGGCCTCAGTGTCACCCAGGCACTACCCAGCAATGCAGATGATCAGGGCCCACCCTGACCTGCCAATCTGAAGCTCGAGGGGTGGGGCTGGGCAGCCTGGGTAACAAGCCTTCCGGCTGCTGCTAATGTACACCTAAGGCTGGGAACTGCGGGGATCAGTGCTTTCTGGAGGCTGATGTTAACAACTGCAGCGGCAGCAGCTACTGAGTACTAAGCATTTGCCCCTTGGGAGGCACTAAGCTAAGCTCTTTACAAGTGTTTTCCTCACTGGACCCTTCCCACGAACACCCTCCAGGGTGGGTGTTCTGTGATTGAAGAGAGGAGGCCCTGGATGGTAGAAAGTATCCGACGTGGGGGCAGGGAGCTCCCGGCACTTGAGTTCCTGTCCCAGCTCTGCCTTGGGTTTGCTGGGTGACTTAGGGAAACCCGTTCCCCTTCTGGGCCTCAGTTTCTCAACAGTGCAGTGACATGCTGGACTTGAGTGCGTCTCTGAGTCTAGCACACATCAGAGCCACGTGGGGGGCTGTGAACACAGGCTGCCGGCCCAGCCCAGAGATTCGCAGCCCGCAGGCCTCGGGTGGGCCCCCGGTGGTGCTGGGGAGGCTGGCCCTGGGATCGCTGGACCCTCAGAGTGCATGCGCTCCCCTCCTCCTAGGAGATCTCAACCAGACAGACTGCGACAGGCAGACCTGCGAGTGCGACAAGAGCGTGGCTCTGTGCTTCCAGAAGCATAAGTACAATGAGAAGCATCGCAACTACCTCAATATCTACTGCCAGGGCACCACCCCCAACTGCAGCATCTACGAGCGGCCCCGGGGGAGCCCCACCCCCTCAGCAACCCCTGTACCCTGCAGGCCCATTTCCCAGGCTCCCCCCGCGCCCTGCAGCCCCACCTCCTCGGCACCCCCTGCGCCCTGCAGCCCCACCCCCTCGGCACCCCCTGCGCCCTGCAGCTCGACCCCCTCGGCACCCCCTACCCCCTGTGGACCTCCCTCCCCAGCACCCCCTGCTCTGCCCTAGCACCCTCCGGGCTCTGACAGAGAAGAGGGGTGGCCGTTCCTGCTCTGGGGCCCAGGCACATGGAGCAGGTAGAGGTGGGAGCAGATCCAGAGCCCAAGGGCTACCCTGCCACCTCCTCCCTGGAGCCCTCTGGCAAGGCCAGCCCCCAGGGGACTCAGGAAGGCCTGGGCCCTGACTGGTCACCCGGCTGCTCCAGCCCGGCAATGGGCATCGCTGTGCCCTGCTGTTGGTCCTGAACCTGGCTGGGAACATGTGGCTTGTTGGGGTCACTTCTGAGTGTGGAAGATGAGGCCTGAGAGAGAGACCTCAGACCCCCAGGTCCCTGACAAACACAGGAGAAGGCAGGGCCCAGCCTCTTCCTCAGCTGCTTCCTTTGTACATCCCGTCACGCAGGGGAGTGGGTGGAAAGACCTTGGGCCTGGGCAAGGAAAGGCTGAGGGCCGGGACCCACTGGGGTGAAAAGGGAAACAAAGGCCCAGGTGGGAGGCTGTGCAGAAGATTCAGGAAGGCAGCGGGGCGAAGAGCCTGGGAGGGTCGGAAGGGTGGAGAGAAGGTGGGAGAGAGGTGAGACAAGGTGAGGGTCAGAGGCGTGGAGCTGGGCGGTGTGTCTGAAGTCTCCAAAGGTGGAGGAGAAGAATAAGCATCACAGTTTTTGAGGAAGAGGATCCCTGTTTCTCCACTCTGGCCGTCCTCTCCTTCCTTAGGACTCCTTCCAAGTTAGTGAGGCCTTTAGCGCTAAGGCTCGAGGAAGGGGCTGCACTTGCTTTACATTGGTCTGGGGACTGCCGTTGACAAAGAGGCACTCCTTGGCCAGCCTTTAGCCACGCTCCTCTGAGACCTTTGATCACCACCCAGTTTTAGCGAGAACCTGACATGTAAACTCCCAGCGACGTCAACATCTGACCAGATCCCACGTCCTCCCTCGGAGCTGAGGTCTGATCCCACCCCAACCTGCCTTCAGCAAGAACCCTAATAAGTCAGTTTACCAACCCACCTCTCTGCTCCTTGGCTATAAATCCCCACTTAAGAAAAATAAGGATGTTATCGTTGCATTAAGAATCGAGCCCTGTTCTATACTGGCCCCTGTTGCAATAGTCTTGAATAAAAGTTGTTTCTACCACTTCAGCTACTGTCCAGTATCTGGTTTTCAAACGGTCATGGTGTCATGACTCAATGATACCTGATTCATCATTGGACCATGGACCTCTCACCCAGGACCTCAAGTGTGTATCTGGGAAGCCATTGTCTGATGGACCGGGGTCCATTGGTGAGTCGACTCCAAAGCCGGTGCTGCGGATTCACGTCCGCTGAGGAGCGAGAAGACAGGCTTTGATTCCTGAGGTTCTGAGTATGGTCTCTGAAGCTGGAGCAGAGTCCCGGGCTGCTTTGTCTGAGAAGTACCTGCTGGGCTAGAAGTCGTTCTTCCTGGCTCTTTCTTTTGAGCAGGGATTCACTCCCTGACTCTCTAGTCTCAAAAATTTTTCCTGGCTCTTTGGAAAGCTTCTCTGTTCCCTCTGTTTGATTCTGCTCCTCCCAAATGAACTCCCCAGTCAACTGAAACCCCGCTTCTCAAACCCCTGCTGCATTTGGAAATTCACTGACTTCGGAAACTTGAGACCTCAGCAAACTGGCTCCTCTAAGCCCTCTCCCTCCTCCTCTCCTCTTAACCTTTGGCTTTCCCCTCAGTTCTTGTGAATCTGTTCCTAGGAGCCCCTTCGGATCTCCACCTCCTCATCCATCCCTCCGTCCGCCATGCTAGATCATTTTTAAGTATGAAAAACTACCAAAACGTTCATTGCTAAGCACAAGTTGAAGTTTATATACTTTTGGCTTCTTTTTCATATGGGATAGAGAAGTATATTTGGATCTGTTAATAAACATAAAAAGTTGTACTAGAGGAAGCATATGTTTTTAGAAATTGTGAGATGGTGTATTTATAAAATTTGCTAACTTATAGTAGAATGTTGCTATTTGGCAATGAATTAACAATTGTCTACTTCCTTGTTTCCCCTGGAAAATAAGGTTACTAAGGGTTAAGAATTCTATTGAATACATGTAAACAAAACTACTGAGAACAAAAATGAAGAAAAAATTCTGTATGAAAAGCATGTAAGATACATTTTTGTTTTTAAAAAAGGGGAGTAATTTTGTTTTAAAGTTGTTGTTTATAAGTTGTTTAAAACTGTTACAGAATGAAAAAGAGAAAAATATAGGATAAAAATATTTTTTAGTGAATATAGAAAATTGTAAAGGATTTGTGAAAAAGAAATTTCACGTGCAGTCAAGCTTGCTAAGACTGAACTGATACATTGATAAGGTTTTTAAAAATGAGCACAACAGTATGTCAATGCAAAACTCAAATTTGGTTTTCTCTGTTAGAACAGCAAAGTTTTCTTGGATTATTGGTCTGCTCTTTATAAGAGATTGTAAAATGTTTTTTGAGTAAACTGCCAAGGACACAAAAGATTTTGTGTTTTACCTGTGCTCCTATTCACTGCGTCATCTTTTTAAGAAAGCCCAGACTTCTCACTTTTAAAAGATCCAAGGATTTTTTGGTTTCTTCTTGTTTTTACACTTTTGATAATTTTGCTTTTCCCAAATCAAATCTTAAGTGAAATCTTGATCTCAAACTAGCTCTTTCAGAGGGCCCTGGAAAATCTCAAAGGATTTGTTCTTTCACCTTGTAAAAAGAGAGATGCTAAAAATAACTTGGTTTATTTGACATGTTAAATTGCATGACAGGCGTCAAATAAGAAAGGATGCTTTAACTTTCTCTAAGTTATATTTATATGGGTAAATATTTTAAAAATTGCATGAAGTTCAGAGAAATTTGTCAAGGGCCTCGCTTGTCCTTGGTACAAGGACAATGTCTTGGTACAATGTCATCTCTCCTGATTCCAGTTATTATCTAAATATGTTGTATTCTACAGAGACAACCACAGTTCCTTGCCAATTGTATCATAATAAATTCTCATCAGATCTTTAAGCATGGCCAGTTTAAGCCTTTTGTCATTTACAGATAGTTAATTGTTTTTCTCTGATGCTTTTCTGACTAAGTAGCCAGAATACTTAGTCTTCATCAGAAAGGATGATTTCAAAGACCCGTGGACAGGACAGGCTTCTGAAGATATTGAAACCTTTGAGATCATATCACTGGGCTGAGTAAGGATTGCCAGAACTCATAGAGAAGCTGATGGGTTCCTGAAGCTGCTAACCCAAGGTCAAGCAGGACAAGAATTAATTCCATGAGATTGGACTACCCAATGAAGGATGATTGTGTGGAACGTTTTGCCTGGAACATTTCTTGTTTTCTAATGTTCTATTTTTTTGGATTTAAGGAACTCCTTTCCCTTTTTATCTTAAATTGCCTATAACTCATGACAATTTAGTAGATTATATTTTCATAAACAGAAATGAAACATTTATCTTTTCTCCCTGCCTGATCCCTCCAGAATTTGGAAACTCTTATTGAGTATTCTTATTTTCATGATAATATAATTATTTGCATCAGTTCAATAGGAATCTGTTTCCTTATAACAGAACATAGCTGGAAACATTGGTTACATTACCAAGGCTTGGCCAGAATATCATATTTGAGAATGCTGTGCACAGAATGTGATTTAAAGAACTGGAGAAGACTTTATGGAGCTGATGCTTACAAACACCAGCCTGGTACCTATAAAAAATGAGTAAGGAAAGTCAATTTCTGGCAGACCCAGGAGACAGGTTATCTTGACGGCCTTGAGAGGAGACTTCACCCAAATCTCTAGGTATGACAAGAGAAATCTGGTGGTGAGTTTTTGGCTTTGCTTCCTAGCCTTGAGAAGCTCTTAAAAGTCTTAGATTCTGTATTAAAGATTCCAGCAATACAAACTCAAAAAGGCCTATGTGGTCAATTACCATCCTTGCTGCCCTTATGTAAATAACCTAATGAGATCAGACTTATTTTGTAAACACAAGTCAAAAAGAGGGGTTACTGTAGAGATAAACAGCACATTCCCTTGGGCTATCAAATTAAAGTCACATTCATTGTCTTTGAGCTAATGTTTTGCCTTTGAGTTAAACCACATTTTCCATTCTACTTTGTTATTCACCTGTTAACCATACTGGATCCTGCCATTTTGCACATTCTGTCAATTCTTCCAGTTTCCTTCAAGATCTGGTTCTAATTCTCCAAACCAATGCTTCCAATTTTCCTCCTGTCTTCCTGACAAGGAGCCACAGATAACTAAAACCCGACCGCGCAGATCCTGAAGGGGGCCATTTAAAGGAGCCCCAAAGCGGAAGCTGGAGGTTTCATGTCTTGACTTCAACACTGATGACTGTGCTGTCACCAGAGACATTCAAATGACAAACCAGGAGGTCCGTTGGGGCGCCGCCGCTCACCTTGCTCCCCTGGAAGGCTGCTTCAGGGTCCATGTCTAGAGAGCCCAGCGGGTTGCCTCTGCACTCAGACACTGGCTTATTAGTCTGCTGCAGCCGTTAGCTTTGTTTTTCTTTTGTTTCCAGAGAAATGCCTCTTATTTAAATGGTGATGGGTTTCCAGCAACTATCCATCCAGCAAATATCCTCTACAACCAAATATCAGCAGATGGCTCCCCGGCTCACCACTGCACAAAGTGGCTGAGCAGAAAGGGACAAAGTTGTTCGGAAGAGGGCCCGACGAAGACCCTCCCCTTGACCTCACGTTAGCCGGCTTCCCTGGGGTATCTTCTCAAGAATCCCCGCCGCTGGGCCTCTGTGTGCACCTTTGCATCCCCTGGTTTTAGCGACAACCCTGCTCTGTCAGTTCGGTGAGAATCCCCACCCACCCTCGATATCTGACCACATTCCTCACCCTCCAATCCCCTGGGAGCTATCTGATCACCCCGGCCTGCCTGCAGCAAGAATCCTGCTCGGTCAGTTTAGCGAGAATTTCCCCAGCCTCGGAGCAGTTTTCTATCCACCAACTCCTGCCCCTGCTCCTCAGCCGTGTATCCTCATTATTCTTCCTTCTTTTCAGGACGGAGCCCAGATCATACTGAGGTCTCTTTCCCCCCACTGCAACAGTTCTTGAATAAAACCTGTTTTTACTCCTTTCATTTCTGTGTGACTCTGTTTGGCTGTCACACCATCTCTGCCCAGACCTGGGTCGCTCTTCTCCACCCTCTGGGCATCACTGGCCATCCAGTCCAGCCCATCCTCGAACCGGCTGGGAGGGGCTGCCGACGCTTCTCTAGACCTTGGGCGGCACCTA